CTTTCATTCGTCTAGAGGAAGACCTACGATTTTGAAGCTGACAGGGCAAATATGAAGGGGCACGAGAAGTCGGACTCTTTCGAGAGGCAAGACTATAAGTCTAGGAAACTCTATTTAAGACCTGAGGAACAAGTCGCCACATCTATGACAGCAAGGACCATACAAAATGATTGAAACCGTCGGGTGGGGGACATATAGCTTGGAAGCACATGACGACAGACAAGTTCTGAGAAGCTTGAATGTGGTACATTTAAAGTCGTTTCATTTTTAATTAACGACTTTCTTTTACATATAAACGATCATTAAGATAAGCATCGAAGGGGCGTCTGCTTCTAACCAATGGCCAACCTTAGCAAATTCTTTTTCACATGAACAATCAACAATGGATAGTGATGATGCCCTGATACACGTCAAACAAATTCTTACAAAAACGTCAATATACAAGTTATGGGGGCTTACATAATTATAAGGGAAAAGTGAATTTTTTATGTCTCCTAAACATGAGTGCAAACACCATCGATTCTCTGCAATGTTTTGACCAAAACTATATAGAGAAATGCGTCACAAAAAGATATGTTTCAGAAGCATAACACGAAACATCATGAAACTCCAAAAGAGAAGTAGGCGACATAAATGACATCAACATGAACCTTAAACATTCATGTTTAGGTTGAAAACAACAACAACAACAACAACAATATTCGAGTGCCACAAAGGCCCCATTTACGGTGGGGTAAGGGGGTCGGATGTACGCAGCCTTACCCGTACATAGAGACTATTTCTAGACAATCCATGATGGAGATTGTGTCAAAAACTGCATAACAAAGAAGAGTAGAGAGTTTAGTGAGTCATTTTTCTTTATTCTGTCATACTCCCAGGAAAAAATAGTGAGTCTTTTGCTTTAAGTTGACAATATAGCTAAAATTTTAAAAAATAGTGTTCAAAGTTTTTCAAGATCTGAGTCACACTCATGGAGTCAGACTCGACATCCGCCCAACGAGGGATGAAATCACGATTGCCAACCGAAGGGTCAACATTAACATGGACAAAATTCAAATTCACCAGCGTCTAGTCATTAGCACAAATTTAGAGGAAGACAAGATCTCAACCGTCGACCTTCATCGCTTCAGCCAAGTAGACATATTTGATCGGCAACTATTAGCGAGAAAGGTAACGAAAATGATCTGTTAGACGGAAACGGATGGAAAGGAATGTTCCATTAGATGGATGACATGTGGACAGGCGTAACAATCAAAGATTCGAAATTTTGAAAACTTGTTGCTTAACAGCTTAACATGTAGCGGTCTTGAGAGAGGAGTGGAGGGGAAACCCTATCCCCCGCCTCCTCTTCTTTTCTTCTCTTACTTCAATTCTTTTGATTTCAGTTATGAAAAAGGATTCAGTTAATCACTATTTTCACTTTTATCTATACGTTTATTTCCTAGCGTTGTCTAGAGATGTTATTTTCGGTGGCGAATTGTCGTCTGCCAGATGTATATTCCCCGTCATCATCAGTCGGGTGTTCTTTGTGTGCTAGTAATAGATTTCTAGAGCTTCTTCATAATCATGAATCTATATTGCTTTTGCATCAATATTGAGGTCGATCGCCCCCCTCCTGAACCACCGCCGATCTAGGAAGGTGGGATTGCATGAATTGCTTTCTTTCGGTGACTGGTGAAACCAGAATAAATTGCGCACTTGGCTCCTTACCGGTGGCTGGCAAAATTGGGAAATTCAATAGCTTCTTTTGGTGGCTGGTCAAACCGGATCCATTTTGGGTAGCATGAGCAGTCACACTGCGGTACTGGTCTACATCATTGCAGGGTTAGCGAACATGAGCGCCTTTATAAGTCTTTTTTGTTCTTTGTATCACCCTAGTGTAGCTTTGGACGCTATGATTGTAATGCTTCGGCTTTTAATTGTTATGTTTTTTGATACCCTTAGCAATAATAATTAAGTTATTTGTTTTAAAAAAAACAGGTTACATGTTTACTCATACGCCTCAACTTCTCCAAAAAGGGCATTTGTTGGAGTAAGTATTTGAGAAATTAATTATACATTTATGGGAGTTAACTCTACAATTGTGGGATTTAATTATGTATTAATTAGTCCATTTGTATGTTTTATATCATATGATCAAGTCTATGTAAGGGGGGTAATAAGGTTGGTTAGTTTAGTTGTCCCTAATTTTTAGGACGAATTCTGAAACCGTCGGACAATGAAGGGACCACCGGAAAGGAAGAAGAGGACACATGATGACTCAGTAAAGGCATGGAGGATGAAGATAGACTAAATTGTCCAAGTGTCTTTGGATTTCGCAGAGGAGTTCCCGAATCCGCAGAATGATGACAAATTCTCAGGCAACTTGAGCCATGTTGCAGAAGTAAGCCCATTCAAGATAAAATCAATTGAAAGAGTCACGTCAGCAAGATAATATCTAGAAAGGTATAAACCAGTATTGGCTTGCGGAGATAGCGATGGGTGGTTCAACTGAATTCTATTTCCATGCAGCAGCTCTGAATTTGTTCGGAAAATGACGAAAAGGACATGGAGGATCAGTGGCGGATCTTGCAACCGGAAATTGGGTGTTCAAAAAAATTATGGTTAAAATATTAAACAATAATGTTTTTCGATACCACAATTGAAGAAATGTAATTTTTTCAACCACAAAAAACTTGGAAAAAAGGTTAAGGGTAATAAACATTGTATAAAAAACACACTATATAAATTATTATATCAATTCTATACATGTATTTTTATATCTTATTTTCAAAATTTTGGATGTTCGCGTGAACACCCCTGAACAATAGCACGTCCGCCGCTGTGGAGGATTCTGTTTTTCGTTAATTTACATAGGTGAAGCTCTTACACTAATACATACTCATTTGCCATCAAAGTATTCTTGATTCTTAGTATTTATTCAATTCTTGTGTGTGACTAGGGATGAACTTGGGTCAGGTCAACTGGCCCGTAACCGGCCCGAATCGGTACTGTTATGGCCCGGACCGGCCTGGTACTCGGTTCTGTGCCCGGTTCAGGCCACCCAGCCAGGCACTGTAGAGGGGCGGTTCCCGGGCCTCCCAAATCACGAACCGGTCCGGCAAATTCGGGTCCGGTTCGGACCAATTTTTCCCCACATTTTTTAAAAGGTAAATGAGTTGGGTGGGGTGTTTTGGAGGGGTTTGGAGTGTGGGGGTGGGGGTGGGGGGGTAGGAAGTAATTTGAAAATAAAAAAAAGGTACCTGACCCGACCCGACCCGACCCGACCCGGCCCGATAACCGCCAGGTGAACCGGCCCGACCCGGGCCCGGAGCTACCCGGGCCAGTTTCTGGGCATCACTTCTCCAAAAAAAGCCCGATCGGAACCGGACTGAGGCCCAGCCCGAACCGAATCGAGGCCCAACCCGAACTGAACCGAGTCCATGCATGTGTCACTGTGTGTGACCTTAATTTAGTCTTAATATCCGTTTATTCAATTCATAATTTACGTAAAATTGCTTATATAGGTGAGGGACATAAATGATTCGAATATATACCTCTCATTATATTTGTATTTTCCTATACTTTCAAGTTTCAACTCTAATATACAATATAATATCCTCTAATCTTCGTTTATCATTCTCTGTACACATTCCGAGTGTTAACTTATTTCAATCAAAACTCATTACTCCTTCATTAGGAACCTTTTACAATTTACATTACTTTATGTACACACAATGTCGTCAGTATGGTTGGACTCAGGTCGGGCCACCCGGCCCGCTACTGTGCGGGACCGGGACCGGCCCGGTTCTCGGGTCCGGGTCCGGGTCGGGCCTTGGCCCGGGGGATAGGGCGGGTCCGGGCTCGGGTCTCAATTTTGGTGAACCGGCCCGGCCGGGTCAGGCCCGGGCCAAATTGATTTTTTTTAATTTTTTTTTCATTTTTGGGGTTCCACCCGGGTTGGGCTTGATGGGTAGGATGGGTTTGGGGGGTTTGGGAGGGTGGGGCTGAGGGGGGGCCGGGGGGGGGGGGGGGGGGGGGGGGTTAGGAAAGCAAAAAAAAAAATCCAAACCAGAGGCCCGGTCCGGACCTGGTGGCTACCCGGGCCGGTCCCGGGTCCACTATTCTTGAACCGCCGGCCCGCCCGGGCTAGGCCCGACCCGGACCCGGACCCGACTCCATCCCTAGTCGTCAGTGTGTTCACATATTGTGTATTTGAGAAAAGATGAAACCACTGGTCAAGGAATATTACACTAACACTTCCTTACATACCAACAATAAGTTTTGTGTATGTTTTTCGATGTACAAAGTATCATACCCTTTCAAATTCAACAAGGCTTTGAGCCTAGTAGTGTACTACTATAATGTTTTAATATCTGCAATATATTTAAATTTGAAATAAACAATGTATTAACTATTGTTTAAATTTGTACTAGTTTAATACTTGTAAGTTATAACTATCTCCAATTATATTTTATCATTAATAATTCATAGAGTGCATTTAAAAATCAATACTTGAGAAATAAAATAAAACCCGGGACATACTGGAATTGACCGGTTGATCTGAACCAGGCAACCAGCCCAAAACCGTTCATATAGGTTCTGGTCCCGGCCACAAGACAAATTTACCTAGGACCAGCTGGTCCAGGGATCGGAACCGGACTGTTCTACCTCTAGTCGAAGGGAATGTACTCCGTGTCTCCGTATATGATCCCCCTAGATGGATGTAAAACTTTCAGGGTGGTCACCTACCTACAGCCTGCTTGCTAGTAGCTGTTTTATACTCTCTTTTCATACACACTTCATATGTTTCACAACAAGCATCTAATGTTCCTAAAGCTTTCTACATTATGGGCTTATGGCTAGTAATAGGTAATGCTTTATGAACATCATAGAAAGCCTAACATCGGAAAGCAGTATTTCCATGGAGTGAACCTAAGAAGCTCAATGCATTGATTTTCACATGAAAAGCAAAACTTCTCATGCAACAAATTCTGATATAAAGTTATAAACAACTCAAATGTAAACAGAGTAAACAAATCTTGCAGCAAATATATTGTCTCATAAATCAAGGAATCATCCACTACTAAGGTTTAAAACCACTGTTGCTATCCAGATTGCACAGTACAGAAGGTAGACATTATCTAGAAACGTATATATAACCTACCCAATCAGTAATAAACAATGAATGACTAAATAGTAATAGAGACACTGCGGGTGAAAAATATCACTTCCGGTATCAGGTCGATGAGGGTTAATCTACTAAAGCGATGTAAAGACTACTTCTACTACCTCTATTGTTGTCTTTTAGTATTTACTACCAGGTAATGCATCACCAAACCCCTTCTTTTGACATTTTCAGAAAGTTGTAAAGGGTGACATTGGGAAGTTCAGGGGACCCTCTCTTCTTCTTTATCTTCGTCACATTGTATATCTCAGACCCAGCCATTTGTCTGTCCGTCACAGACACTAGATTGTAGAACTGTTTACGAAACAATAGCAAAAGAGTTTTACTCATAAAAGAAAAAAATACATAAAGTCAATTCTACACAAACTTATAGCCTCTTTGGCAGGGGCTTAATTTTGGTCTTTGTCAACCAATCTTTTCAGGGATATTTTCCACAATAGGAGTAAAAACAACTTGATTTCCTTAAATAGTGGTACTTAGGGCTGGCAATATAACCCGCACTCGCGGATATCCGATCAACCCGAACCGAAAATATGGACAAAAACCCGAAAAATTATGGATGAAAAATGGATGACGGGTGGATTGAAAGACGGGTTGGATCGGGTGTGGATGTTCACTCATCCAACCCATCACCCGACCCGTCACCCGCTCCATCCACCCATCCGCTAACCCGCATATAAATGTATATATAATAATTAATGTTAATATATTAATATATATGTATTTGTTAATGAAAAAGATGACTTGGTGAAATAAAGACAATTGAAGAGGTTCAAGATATGGTAGTTGAACTGTAGAATTTGAAAGCTTGAATTAGTGATTGTAATATACTTAATTGTTCAAGTTTTTGTTGTTATAATTCAATGAATCTTAAATTTTGGTTTTTAGTTGTCATGATTTATCTTTATAATAATTTATTTATTTTGTCTTTCAAGTTAGACCATATATATTCACCCGTTACTCACCTGATCCACCCGATAACCCGTTCATGATGGATGGGTTGGATGTAGATGTAATTATTAATGGATGATGGACGGGTGGGTGGATTATGAAAAATTAACGGGTGGACGTGGATGAACCTTCACCCGATATAAATCTGACCCCTAGCAGTACTATGTTTCTTCCGTACATAGAAGTAATGTAGTGTCATCTTAAAATCAGTATCATATTATAGCATTACAAACATTCTTATACCGGTATTGATGTTATAATATAGCAGTATAGCTTGGGGATGACACTATTTAAGAAAAAGAAAGCCATCTTCTTTTACTCCTACTTAGGGTTTTTTTACCAGGCACGAGATTCTTCATCGGCTTAATTGATCTGATGATAATAAAAAAAATAGTGTACGAACATTTTTTTTAAATAGGAGTAATATATATTTTTCCACAAATACAAGCAATGTTATGTCATTTTAAAATCTGTCTCATAATATGGTGTTATAGGCAATATTATGGCGGTATTAATGTTACACTAGCAGTAAGATTTCATGATGACAATTGATGGTACTACTCGTCCCATTTTACATGTCCTACTTTCCTTTTTGGGTTGTTCCAAAATAAGTGTCACATTTCCTCTTTTGGAAAGAAACATGTGGTCTATATCATTTCACTTTATTATACTCAAATTTCAACCACAACTTTTACTTTTTCAAACACTTTATTAATAATTGAGCCAAGGCAAAGTGAGACACATAAAATGGGACAAAGGTAGTACTATTTAAGAAAAAGGAAACCACTTTTTTACTCGTATTTAGGGCTTTTTTGAACAGGCGCTAGATTCTTCACCGGCTTAATTTATCTGATGATAATGACAACAATATTGTAGGAACTACTTTTTTTAACCAAAGCTGAAATGGCTGGAATTGATTCTTCTACTTTATTTATAGAAATTATTTCGTAAATTTAGTTAAATAATTTTATCTAGATAATTCAGAAAATAAAACCACTATAGCCAAAACCTCGACATTAACATTATACGTGACTTCAATCATTGTAAAGTGTAAACCCAACCAAACAGGATCTTAAATGGTAATTGATGAAAGCGACAATTCAAACTTCAAATAGATACCATCTTACTTCAGTTTTTGAAATATGAATTTTCAATATTTTTTAGACAAATCCATGTATTCCGCGAATTCAGCAATTTTAACAGCTTTTTCAATTGATTGAGCATATTCAACGACTTCTGCTGAACGGACTCTAGATTTAAATGGGAACTAAACATCACAAGAATAGTGTGAAATATGGAAGTAAGTCAAGTAACATCATATCTTACCTCACAAACGCCATGTAATAACAGCCGATGAAAAGGATCATGAACATATAGTGAAAGAACATCTCCATCACCATTTTCTTCGATAAAAGCTCGGATACGATCCTTAAAAAGTAGCTCTCAATGTCAATAAAAAATACTATGTATTAAATTCTACGGACCTTCAAGGTACCGTACCTTATCCATGTGTACCAATTAGAATATTACAACTGAGTAATTTAAATATAAACAATTAACAAATGATGAAATAATGACTTGGACCAATCAAATGCATTAAAGGACCAACCAAATAATGAATGTGGTGTTCTGTAACATTCACCAAACATTAAGAACTCGTTTGATAACCCCTATTTTCAGCTTATTAGCCTTAGCAGCCAACTTTTTCATCAAACACGAATCTTTTGATTTCATGCACTGAATTGTGTCATAATCACAATAAGTAAGATTGAAGTTACATTTCTAGCCGAATTGACGGAAGTTACGTAGATGACCATTTTAACTGTTTTTTCATATATTTTTTTCTTAAATTTATTAATAAAATATATTAAATATATTTTTTCCATTTTTCAGTAGATTTTGCCAATCGAGTCACTTCAGCCATAATTTCATCAATTTTAGCAGATTCAGGCGATTGAGCAAATTTCAGTGTTACCGAATGGGTTCTAAATGATATTCACTAGAAAATTTATGTTGGAGCACATTACTATGAAATTACCCAAGCACAAACATGAAAATCTCATACTTGAAATTCAGGTTCTTTTTTTGCAAGATGTATTTTCGGGGAAATGTTCTCTGATTTTCTTAGAAAGACTTTAATTAAAGAACATACTTTCCTTCATTCTTTAGATGCCCGTTTGGAACATGGAAATTACTAGTACTAGGAATAAAATAGGAAGTAAAATATAGAAGACAATTTGGAAGGAAATAAATTTTTTGTGTGAATTTAAGGATAGAGTGAAACTCAATACATTAATTTCAGGTGTTTTTTAGAACTTGGGTCATTTATTTATTCATGAATACCATACAAAGAAGAAGATTTCAAATATGTTTTATTCTTTGAAAACGAAAAGCAAATTATATTTCATTTTCCCTGCAATTTTTAAAGGTGAAGCCAAAAAGAAGAAAACAACTTTCCTTATCATTATTTTTCTTTAACTAGTGTTTTTGGGGATCCAAACATACCCCTAGAATTTAGATGAAATTACCTCATATGTCTTTATCAACTCCGGGAGAAATTTGTGGCAAAGTGTCTCTCTTGTTCGACAATCAACTCTATGCCATGCTGTTAATACTGCAACCTTATCATTATTTATTCTGTGTTTCTTCTTTGTCACAGAACATTCCATGCTCTTCATAATGGCAGCCTAACATTAAAATATAAAAAAGACTGAACAGACTTGAAACATCAACACTTCATCATATGAGAATTTACAGAGCAAGAGCAGCTTCAAATCAAACATATAACATACAATCATTGTAGTCTGTAAGGTCAGACGGGTGAAGTACCAATTCACACCCATAACATAAATGATACATGAAGTCAATTTGGTATGAAATTAAGGGAGTGCTTGCAAAAACTAAAAAAAATGGTTTTCAACTTTTAACCTAAAAACGCTGAAATGAGTGTTTTCATGTGACAGCTTAAATCAAACACTCAAAAGCTAAAGCTGGATGCCATTGGAAGGGTACTTTAAATTGATTTTCACCTTTTCTATTACACAAAAAACACTCTTTTAATAAAAACTACCAACTTTTTCTTTTTCAAAAGAAATTTTTTTCAAACACTACTATCTTTTACTATTAAGCACTTTCTCTAAAATCACTTTAAAAATCACCTTTTTAAAGTAGAAACAATCACAAATCGCAAACACTTCCCAAGTCAAGAACCACGTGAACAAGAAAATTACCATATAGAGAAAACCTACTCTTCACATTGAGGATATGTTTGTCTTGGGAAAATGTTAGGGGAAGAAACGGCATGTTAAGAACCTTTAAGTTCTTGAGATTGGTTTTGCTTGGAAATTGCAAAGGAAAAAAGGAAACAGGTTTGATGAAAAAAATGAGTTTTGGACAAATGTAAAAAAACAAATATATTGACTTCGAACCATTGCTTTACATTCCTGTATGTTTTCTTTTCTTCTAAATTTCCCCTATATTTGTCTTCCTATTTTATTTCCAAAACATTTTCTAAGTTCCAAATGAACCTTTAGCATTAAGCGATTAAATAATAAAAATTAGTATGTGTTTGGATAAACACCCTCTTAGTTCAAACAAATTCAGACAAAACTGCAAGAATAAATGTTAAAATGTGCCTATCTAAATACAGAGAAAGGCATGACCTCTTTATCCATGTCAATAGTCCTGAATTTGTCCCACTCCCCAACATTTGTCAAGCAAAATGGTGAGAGTGGCACATCATCACCTTTCAAACAAAAATTCAAACAATTAAGTAATATCAAAACAAAATTTTCAAATGTGAACAAAGAGCAATAAACCAAATGGTGTAAGAATATAGCTCACCCCATGGTGGTGGAGCAAATAAGCTTCTAATATCATTTGCACTCAAACGTGGAACCAACTCCATTAGCAAGCGATCATTCAACCATCTGCGAGATCTTCGGTTGCTGACCTGAGAAGAAACTAAAGGATGAATGATTTGTTGTCTATGAATTAACCTTTTATCTCACATAGTCAAATGTGAGTAGTAGCAATGTTGTCAATCCTGGATAGTGGAGCATAGTGGTCTATCTCGAAAAAAACATACAATGATGTTAATAATTAAAATATCTGAAGTCTAAACATTAAAATAAAAAACAAGTTTCTGGATAAGTCTTGATAAATTAACCTCATAGAAGAGCAGAAGTCCAACTACAAAACACTAATGGTGGAAGAAAAAGATACTACTCATAAAGAAGCAAAGAAAAGAAGTGCGGCAGAGTGTGGTCAATGGTCATTCTACTTGAAATGAAGCAGAGAAAGCAGAGACTGGTCATCAAAAATGGTGTGAGTCTAAACACTATGCATAGAAGATGCAGAGAGGAAATGAGATTGTTTGGAAGGGTGGGACGGGTTTTACGTACTTATAAGGGTTTTAATGTGGTTAACATTTATAATAAAAAACCTTTATCCCTTTAGTACCTCTGAAAAATCATAACTATTCCAGAATATCCTAACTGATGCGCATAAAATTTGAGAACTGAGCAGTGTCCCTGGAGTGTCCGCAACAACAGCTACATGCCCTCTGTAGCGGTCGCTATTCCAGCTACACCCAAATGCTCCGCTACATAGGATCTTGTGGCACTCAGCTACTTCTCTGCTCCGCTACGTAAAATCTTGTAGCACACTAGCACCCAGCTACTGCTGTGCTCCTCTACGCTGCTATACCGTGCTTTTTACTTCAAAGAACAGTAGTAGACTGAAGACTCATAAAAACATGCTAAATTTCCAAAATAATGTACAGGTAAACACCGTTAATATTTTCTAGTTTCATTTGTTCATGCGTTGAGTAATCCATTCACAACGAGAGGATCAATGTTTCATTTGGGAATATCGTATCATGTACTCATGTACACCCTAAACCCCCCCAATACTATATAAACCGATATTTCTTATACTAAAACAGAAATAATTAGTCACTTTAGTACGCCTTGATTGATGCTACCCTGGTCCAGACCAATGAATGTCTGGATTTCCAATTTGGGTGATTGTGAGCAAGTCACAACAACAACAACATCCAAGCCTTAGTCCCAAAAGATTTTGGAGTCTGATTTGGGTGATTCTGAGCAAGTGATGAATTGAAATTTAGAGCCTCCAAAAAAGTTGATCCTTGCTGAATTAATTAACCAAAGTAGATTAACAACTTTCCTAAACAAGTGCATATATTCAGGTATTTCAGGCAAGTAGCCCATCTCTTCACAATAATATCTCTTAGTAAATAGAAGATTTAAGAAGTACTCAAGTACATTTGGTGCTAGGCTCTCAAGGCACTCGATCCTCTTCTCAATGGAAATACCTGGAAACTTCACATTTTCCCCTGCATTTAATCCCGAGAGAAAAGTTACTTATTCCTGAAAACTAAGAACATGACAAACTTTTGAAGAAGAAGAAACATAATTACACTCCCTGCAGAAACAACTAGTCCAACCAAAAACACATAAAAAAAATATTGTTTGCAATCAATCCATACTGAAAGAATTGCAAAAATGTTGTAAATGCAAAAGATTTTGGTATTTTACCCTTGGGATTATCAAAGCGGGACCACATCATAAGAATATCTTCTTCTCTCTTTAAAACCTCCGAACTCGCCATTATTTTTGAGCTGCTAAACTTTTACCTGACGCCTGGTTAGATAGAAGCAGATGAAAAGAAGCGGTGGAAAAGGGATATACTGGAGGTCCGGAACAACAGAAACCTGTAGAGGAAAACGGCGACGTTAGAAGAAATTGAGAGACTAGGGTTCTTTCCTTTACTGACTGAGTCACCTTATTTACTCCCCCAACATCCTGTCGGGTCGGGGTGGGGCCTTTTGGACGAGAGACTAGGGTTCTTTCGGTTACAGTCCAATTTGCACTTGGCCTCACTTTTTCAGGATATAATATTGAATTAGGCGGAAAAAAATAGTAAATATTGTGTGGTTGAATTTTGTACAAATGAGAGAAAAAATGAGCACAATTACAAAATAGTTATTTTAATGGGAAAGTGATAAAGTTTTACGAGACAAAGAGAAAGTTGACAAAATCCGATGAACGGAAATTTCAAAATAGTGTGTTTTAATTCCAATATTTTTTAAAAATTCCAAATTTAATTTTTTTAAACATGTAAAATAATTTTGAAATTCTACAAATGTACGTACTGAGGTTAAATAAAATCTTTTTTAGTAAATTTTATTTATTTTCACTAAAAATTCATTTTGTCTATTTTCCAATTTGTTTTTCTCAATTGTTTTACCAATTTATGATTTCGTATTATTTTCCTTTATTCTAATTTAGTTTTCAAAAGGTATTCTATGATTAAAAATTTATGATGTAGAGTTTATTCCAGCTTTTTTCACGAATATATATTTTATTTATTTTTTTATGCTATCTTAATTCTAAAAATCTAAATTTCAATTTTTTCTTTTTAGAATTTTAATTCCTTTCTATTTTATTTATTTTATATTATTATATTCTATAAATTGTATGATATAGTTTATCGTTTAATTTTAGATCTTTGAGGTATGGGTTTTGGGGGTTTTGGATATTTTTTACGAAAAAAAGGTATTAATATTATAATTTTAAGTGATATAATGGAAATTGTAAAAATGTAGAAAAAGTGTAAATAACTTTATATGATGATAATGAAAATGTATGATAGATCATAAAAAGTAAAAAAAGTGAGAAAACTAAAGAAGCTCATGTATATAAACATGAAATAATTTACCAAAATTAGGAAAGTGTGAATGTAATAAAAAAATTTTACAAAAAAGTATTTGTGGAACTTTTATAGATAAGGATTTAGTGCTATTTTCGTTTTCTTTGCAACGTTCTTGATTTATTGTAGAAATAGTTTCAAATATATAATCAAAATAAAAACAATGGACAAAAATGAAATATGACTCTAGTAACTTTAGTGACTATAACTGTATTCAAATGTTACAGCGTAGTGACTATAAAATTTACTCGTAGTAATTTATAATCACATTTTTGTCCGTACATTTTTTTATTAGTAATATTTTAGGAAAAACTTCTTTATTATATTAGGACTACGAAAAATGGTCCCATCATAATTCGAACTATTATAAATTGATACCTTTTTTAAATCTGAACAACTGGTGACCGGTCACGAGGGACTGCTACTAGAAGATGACCTCTATGATTGAGATCACCTATGAATAATCGATCCTTTGGATTATTAACAGCGGACTGGCAGTAGATGAGATTATTACTTTCAATTTCCCTAATTAATAAAGCAAAAGAGGTACCCATATTAGGGACTCGTGATATACATCATGTATGTTAAACTTATGCTTTCGTTCTGGTTAGATCCAGTACGAATTCTCATTTTATGAGAGCCGATCATGGTATGATACAAAATCAGTACGGTATGTTTCGTGATAGAAACATAGTCCGGTTCGATACCATGTCGGTTTACTGTCGAGCAACTGTGCCGTCATCATTGTTCAGCAAAAGTGTCGTCACCGTTGTTGCTTCCTTGGTAGCCGCACCGCCCTTGGACATTGCAGATCTATCATCTTCATCTCGTTTCTTTTTTGGAATGGTGAAGATATGCTTTCATCTTAATCGCAAGGTCTGGAGCATCCCTGATGGCTGATCATTGGAGATAGGCGATGACGACTTGCATCTAGGGATTGTTGTCGATGGAAGACGATGACTTGCGATGGATTGCGATGTGCGACCATCAGAGATTTGACGACGAGGACGATGAGGCCCAAATCAAGGGTGTTGCGGAAGGTGCTGGGTAACGGGGGTTGGGGATGGGGCTGGTGTCGGGGAGGCGGCTGATGCAAATTCTACACGAGTTCAGAGTGAAATCAGAAACATTTGTGAATATATGGTGTTGGGATATTGACCTAAAGGCCCAATACCCAGATCGAGAAGGCCCAAGATATCCGGCCCATCACTCTATGATGAATAGATCCAGTAAGAAGACATACCGAACGGAGTTCGGCCCAAATAAAGGTTGGCCCAGTAAGAAGACATACCGACCGGGGTTCGGGCTATATATCGTACTTGGGCCAATTTGACAGCATCTTCAGAACAGCCCAACATCCCGGTCGAGCAACGGCCAACCAGCAAGTGGCCAGGTGCAATTAATGTCAGACTTTGACATCAGCAAGTGGAAGCATGGATGACCAAGTCGGTGGAACAACGGCCAATCAGCATGGGGCAGCCCATGCTCTCCATTAGTATAAATAGAAGGTTTCAAGTCATTGTAAGGGTTAGCATTTCAATACTCAGGCTCTAGAATAGCATCATTGCTCTTATTTCTTGTATTAAAGCATAGTTTCCGACCTACCGATCGGGAATTTTCCTTGTAATCAGACTGGTTAATTAATACAAGTGAGCTTTCGAGTGTTAGTTAGTTCAGATCTTATATTTTTTACACGCTTTGATTCTGTGCCATTCCTGATATATCCAAAGTTCATGTTGGGCTTTCGGATCTACGGGACTTACCCTCAACATTGGTTCCGTCTATGGGAAACTTGCAAAAAGTTTCACATTCAAATCATCCAAAAACCTCTATTTTCAAAAATGGTCAGAATCAGTTCCTATCATACAAGCAACGGTTCACACCGTCACGGGAGGAGTCACACCCCGGGGAGTCAAAACCCTCAGGGACAATCCAGTCGAGGATCATATCCTCGTTTTGATGGGGATTTTGTGATTCCCGGATCTCTGAGAAGAAATCCTCAGGCCATGCGTGACATGGCCCAGGTCATGCAGCATATGGCGAACGAAGAGGAAGGAGGTTCCAGCTTTACAGGGGAGATTCCACGCACGGAAACAACCACAGCGTCATCCCATTCGCATGCCCATCGGGATAATCGACGTAGCGCCCCACCAACAGCGCACCACAGTCCCAGTGACCGAACCCCGATCGGGTCACAAGCTAGAGGACCAACTCCCGTTGGTCATCATTTCCAGTATCCCGAGCGGGAAAGTACTAGGGCCCCTCAACGACAATGGGACCGGGACTGTACGGATATGAGGGCTCCACCACTGCCCCCTTTGACGGCCCAGGAGGAAGAAATGGCCGAGATGAGGAGGCAAATGAATGAAATGCGAGACCAGATGAGCAGGACGCCTGTAGAACCTGCCCCGGTTCAGCTGGGAATTACTTCCCCGTTTACTAGGGAACTCATGTACGCAGATATCCAAGGGGGTGCCAAACCCCCGACCGGCCAAATCTATGACGGGGTGGGATATCCCCACGTACATCTGAGGAGTTACCAAGGGGGACTCATGCTGCTAGGAGCACCCGAGGCCGCCATTTGCCGGTTGTTTTTCAGCACGCTCAGGGGGCCTGCCCAGGAGTGGTTCGGGACACTACAGCCCGGGTCAATCAACAGCTTTGCCGAGTTATCGGCGTTATTCTTGGCTCAGTTTGCTTCCAGTGCCAATCCCAAACGGCACTTCAGCTATTTGACCAGCATGAAGCAAAACGCCAAAGAGACCCTCAATCAATTCCTGAAAAGGTGGAGGGATGAAACTTTAACGGTGGGAAACATGACGGATGATACCCCCATTACCCTATTCACAAATTCTCTCCGAACGGGGGAGTTGTACAAAGAGTTGAAGAAAAATCCGGGTACGGTGTACGCCGAGGTATTAGATAGGGCTCACAAGCATGCCGCCCTAGAAGAGGAGATAATGATCAGGGATAAGGTCATTGCGCCTGCTGCCCCGATCAAAATGGCCGATCGGCTGGGTCCTAGCCCAGCGGCCGCTTTACCTCCCAAACAAGGGAGATTTACACCCCTGGTCCTATCAGTAGCGACCATCTATCAGCACGAGAGGGACAATATTCCCCTCCCGACTGATTCTGGACAGTTCATGGGAGCGGATGATAATGCTTTCTGTAAATATCACAACAGAAAGGGTCATGCCACCAATGCTTGCAGGGCCCTACAAACAGCCATTGAGGATCTGATCCGAAGGGGCCGTCTGGGCAAATATGTGAATAAAGATCCGAATGCTATGGGCACGTTGAAACCGGCCAGGAAACCTAATAGTTGGCGCCGGGATGCTCAACGTGACGCCCAGCCTCAAAATGATGTGTATGTTCCTCCCAGGGATGAACCAGAGGGCTCGGGAGGCCCTGGAAAGAAGCCTCGAATGGAGGTCAAGGTTATATTTGGGGGCGAGGAGACAGGAGATTCGAACGCCGAACGGAAAAGGTTCGAGCGAAGTCTTTATGTGGGATTCGTCTCCACTCCCCCCCAGAAGAAAGGAAGGACAGACCCGATCACGTTCGGGCCAGCTGATTCACCCAACTCTCCAAGCCCACACAGGAATGAACTGGTGGTAAGCATGTGTATTGACAATGCTTTGATCCGCCGAGTACTGGTCGATACCGGAAGCAGTGTGAATGTATTGTATCTACAATCATTCGAGAAAATGGGTCTGCAAAGAAGCCAACTGACCCACCTACGGACCCCACGAGCAAGTTTCACCGGTAACTGCATCGAGGCTGAGGGGACCATCCAATTAATGGTTGAAATTGGGGATGAAACCCACAAAGCGTCACTCCGAATGACGTTCGTGGTGGTAGATATAAAGTGTGCCCACAATGCCATATTGGGCCGACCGGGATTGGAAGATCTGGAGGCAATAGCCTCTGTCCGCCACTCATGCATCAAATTCCCTACAGACACTGGGGTTAGGGT